GTTGGCCAGAGTGGCCACCAGGGAAACCTGGGGAGGGCTAGCCTCCCACTAGTTCGAATTAAGGGGCTACACAGCCCTTAATTCGAACTAGCTAGTTCGAACTAGGTTTAATCCTCATAAAATGAGGTTTACCTAGTTCGAACTAAGCGCTCCGCTAGTTCGATTCAAATTCGAACTAGCGGAGCACTAGTGTAGCGGCTATGAATGTTAGTTCGAACTAACGTCCGTTAGTTCGAACTAACATTGTAGTGTAGACATACCCTCTGGAACTACAAAGCAGTCAGCCTAACCTCAGTCCCTGGAAAAATCATGGAGAGGATCCTCAACAAATACATTTGGAAGCACTTGGAAGAGGAGAAAGCGATCAGGAATAGTCAACATGGATTCACCAAGGTCAAGTCATTCCTGATCAATCTGATTAGCTTCTATGATCAGGTTATGGGAAAGTCAGTGGATGTGATATATCTTGACTTAGGAAAGCTTTTGTTACGGTCTCCCACAATATTCTTGCCAGAAAGTTAAGGAAGTATGGATTGGATAAATGCACTGTAAGATGGATAGAAAGCTGGCTAGAGTGTCGGGCCCAAGGGGTGGTGACTAATGGCTCAATGTCAGGTTGGCGGTCGGTTTCTAGCAGAGTGCCCCAAGGATCGGTTCTAGGCCTGGTTTTGTTCAACATCTTTATTAATGACATGGATGAGGGGATGGATAGCACCCTTAGCAAGCTTGCAGATTACATTAAGCTTGGAGGAGAGGTAGATAAATTGGTGGGCAAGGGTCGGGTCCAGAGTGATCTAGACAAATTAGGAGATTGGGCCAAAAGAAATCTGATGAGGCTCAGCAAAGACAAGTGAAGAGTCCTGCACTTGGGATGGAAGAATCCCAAGGATTGTTACAGGCTGGGGACAGACTTGCTAAGTAGCAGTTCTTGAGAAAGGGACCCGTGGATTACAGTGGATGAGAAGCTGGATATGAGTCAATAATGTGCCCTAGAAGCCAGAAAGGCTAAAGGCATATTAGGGTAGTTTAGGAGGAGCATTGCCAGCAGATCTAGAGAAGTGATTAATCCCCTTTATTTGGCTCTGGTAAGGCTGCATCTGGAGTATTGTGTCCAGTTCTGGGCCCCCCACTACAGAAAGGATGTGGATGCATTGGCGAGAGTGCAGCAGCGGGCGACCAAAATGATGAGGGAGCTGGAGCACATGACCTGTGAGGAGAGGCTGAGGGATTTGGGCTTATTTAGTCTGCAGAAGAGAAGAGCCGGGGGGGATTTGATAACAGCCTTCAACTTCCTGAAGGAAGGTTCCAAAGAGGCTGGAGAGAGGCTGTTCTCAGTGGGGGCAGATGCAGAACGAGGAAGAGCGAGGGGGGATTTGATAGCAGCCTTCAAATCCCTGCAGGGGGATTCCAAAGAGGATGGAGAGAGGCTGGGCTCAGTGGAGACAGACGGCAGAACGAGGAGCAATGGTCTCAAGTTACAGTGGGGGAGGTCTAGGTTGGATACTAGGACAAACGATTTCCCTAGGCGGGTGGGGAAGCACTGGGATGGGGTCCCTAGGGAGGGGGTGGGATCTCCATCCCTAGAGGTGTTTAAGTCCTGGCTTGAGAAAGCCCTGGCTGGGATGATCGAGTCAGTGTTGGTTCTGCCTTGGGCAGGGGGTTGGACTCGATGACTCCTGAAGTCTCTGCCAGCCCTGGGATTCTATGGTTCTCCGAGCTGAGCTGTCCCCCCACTCCCTGCTGCACCTGGCCCCCGGCTCCTCTGCTCCCACTCAGAATTTGTTCTAACACCCCTGGGACTTCGCCCTGACTCTGGTCCTGCTGCAAACTGACTGGTGCCAAAGGGACCTGCCCCCTGACTGCTCTGGGTAGGACAGGGGAGGTCTGGGAGTGAGGACTCCTGGGTTCTGTTCCCAGCCCTGTCAGGGGAGTGGGGTGTAATGGTTAAAGCAGGTGGGGCTGTGAGTCACAGCTCCTGGGGCCTCATTGTGGGTCTGCGACAAGAGTGGGGCCCAGAGTCTGAGCACCTGGAGCCATGAGCCCTGGGGTTTGTTCCTGCCCATGCCCCAACTGTCTCTGTTGTGTTGCCTGGGACAGACCATCCCCGCATCCAAACAAGTGTCCCAGCCTTCACCACAGGTAGACGATCCCAGGGCGATCGCTATCTAGAAATGACTCGTAGTGGTAACGATCATACAGCCTCCCATGAACTGATGGAGCTGGTGAGTTCTGCTTTGTTGCTGTTCCAGGCAGCACTGTTCTTCCTTTGAGGGACAGCAGGAGAAATTTTCTCCGGGGACTTGGTCCCAGAAGCCTGGGAATGGAATAAAAACACCTGCCTCCTTCCCCATGTTTCAGTGCCTCCAGTGAGGAGACGGATCTGCTGTTCTGATGCAAGGTAGGCTCAGAATAAAGGACGGATGCCCCCGTTAGTCTCCCATTGACGTTCCTGGGCACTGTGCTCTTATCTGGCCTGGCACGGCCATTTCACTGCTTTCTCGTTTGAATGTCACAAAGGTGGGCAGAGAACCATAGTGTGAGTCTGAGCACATGGGCTGTGTCTGTCTCTCTGTCTATCTATCTATCCCCATACACTCTATCTAGTCAATCCAGTTGATTGTCTACCTATTCATACTTCAATCAATCTCTTGATCTCAATCTGTCATTCTGAATTCTACTAATTTAACTCCCCCGGATGAGCCCGTGACCTGGGCTACAGGGTTGTTTTGTTAATTTTCATCATGGGAAGTTGTGATCCCATATCACACTAGTACCCACAAGTGAGAGAAGCAGCTGACATGCTCATCACCGTGCCTTGAGTCAATGTTTTATATTTGTTCTTGTAATGGTTGTGTTTCTTGGGGCTCCTTCCTCCTGTCCCTGCCTCCAGTGCAGTCCTTTCTCATATGTACAATACACAGCTGTGTAGAACACCGGAAAAGTTGGGGCACCCCTGGGTGTTAATGTCCACCCACCTACTTCTTCCTATCCCTGTTCAGTGGCTCTGCTTCCTCTGGAAAGGGTCTAGTTATCTTCAAAGTGAAAAGCCTGCCTATCCTATTACCAGCACACTGAACCTTTGAAAGAGCCATTCACGTGGTGATGAAGCCATTTAACAGGCCAACTCCAGATGCAATGGTCCTTCTAATCTTTTCCATCCATGTGCTAATTTTTCCATCGATGTGCACAATAAATTTTATGTTCACCGAGGTATGTGCGGATGTGCACCATGAGCAGAAACAAACAACCTCATTGTGGACAGCATTCGAGTCTCTGCTGTGCGGCTGCATAAGCACACAGATCACAGGGAACACTGCCAAGGGCTACACTGTCAGTTTCTGAATTTACTCTGTTAGTGCATAAGACCTTTGTTTAAGATTTGCTTTAGAAATAGTCCACCAGTGTGTGCTGGAGATTAGAAAATCACAGCTCTAGACAATTCCACCCCCGGGCTGCCCATGGGCGAAAGGGCACCGGTTGAATAGTGCTGTGTAGGGCCCTGTGAATGCGAAGGACAGCCCTGCTCCCCTGTATTGGGCAGCCCCCATGGACAGCCATTGAATCACTTACACACGTTGTTTGTGGAACTGAGACTTATCCTCAGATGTGAATAGAGTCGCTTGGGCGGGCAGAGTCTGTCCAGAGAATCCACCACTACCTCCATGGAACATGTTCTGCACCAGGTTCCCAAGAGTTAAGTTCGGGTCTCTTTTAGCCATATTTCCCCCAGTCCTCTCCCCACATAATGTAAGTGTCTTCCCTTGCTTTCACGTTCTCCTGAATGTCAGTGGAGTGTGCAGATGGCTTGAAGAACTATGACAAGATCACTCAGCTGCCAGTGACAAGAAGTGCTGCCAACTTTATGCACGATGGTGAGTAAATGTCTCCATTTATTTAGCGACAGTTCAAATGCTGCCAATAAAGAAAAGAAATCAAAACCCCTCCTGATAAAATGGGCTTTATAAAATATGGATGTTTTCCATGGGAAAGCGTTGATGATAGTCTCCTCTTTTCCAGGTTGAAATGTCCCAATCTCTTTACATGGGACCCATTCCAAACCCCTAATCATTAGCAAACTGAAAACTAGCGGGGGATATGATAGAGGTCTATAAAATCATGAGTGGTGTGGAGAAAGTGCATAAGGAAAAGTATTTCCTTGTTCCCATAATATAAGACCTAGGGGCCACCAAATGAAACTAATGGGCAGCAGGTTTAAAACAAATAAAAGCAAGTTCTTTTTCACACAGCGCATAGTCAATCTGTGGAACTCCTTTCCTGAGGAGGTTGTGAAGGCTAGGACTATAACAGAGTTTAAAAGAGAACTAAATAAATTCATGGAGGTTAAGTCCACAAATGGCTATTAGCCAGTATGGGTAAGGAATGGTGTCCCTGGCCTCTGTTTGTCAGAGGGTGGAGATGGATGGCAGGAGCGAGATCGCTTGATCATTACCTGTTCGATACACTCCCTCTGGGGCAGCTGGCATTGGCCACTGCTGGCAGACAGGTACTGGGCTGGATGGACCTTTGGTCTGACCCAGTATGGCCGTTCTTATGTTCTTATGTTTTCTTCTCCCTTTGTGAATGGGATTCTACACCACATTTCTCAAAGGCTACGTCTAAGCTGGGAAGGTTCGACAGCCAAAGCAGGACCCATCCCAACTCCATCATCCCAGCCAGGGCTTTGTTGAGCCAAGACTTAAACACCTCTAGGGATGGAGATTCCACCCCCTCCCTAGGGAACCCAGCCCAGAGCTTCCCCTCCCTCCTTGTCACTTGGTATTTTCTAATATCCAACCTAGACCTTCCCCAGTACACCTTAGCAATGCGTAGCTGATGTCAGCACAACTGCTGGTGTTTGCTGCACCAATGGCCATTCACATAAAGAATTACAGTGCGTTTTAGTATGACAGATCCAAACAGATGGCAAACTGTTGCTTAACTGACATCCACATGTTTGCTAGATCTCAGATTTATTTCCAGTGTCTTTCTCACTCCTGCAGATGGCCTCTTCGGAGAACCAGACCATCTCCGATGGGTTCATCCTGGTGGGCTTTTCCTACCTTAACAAGCTGCAAATCCTTCTGTTTCTGCTGCTTCTTGTTACCTACCTGCTCACCCTGATGGGGAACCTGCTCGTTAGCCTCCTGATAAAGCTGAACCCCTCCCTCCACACCCCCATGTATTTCCTCCTGGTCAACCTGTCTGTCTTGGAAATCTGCTGCACCACCAGTGTGACCCCTCAGCTGCTGGTTCACCTGCTGGTGGAGGAAAAGACCATCTCCTTTGTGGGTTGTGCAGTACAGATGTTTGTCTTCACCACCCTGGGTCTCACAGGTTCCTGTCTCCTCGCAGCCATGGCCTATGACCGCTACGTGGCCATATGCCACCCCTTGCACTATACGACCATCATGAGTGGCCGGTTTTGTGCAAAACTGGCAGGTGCTTCATGGACTATCTGCATCATGGTGGAAATCGTTCAAACCACCTGGATCTTCAGCCTGTCATTCTGTGGCCCCAACCGCATCCAGCATTACTTCTGCGACATCCCACCATTATTGAAGATGGCCTGCACCGACACATCCAGAAATGAGGTGGTGGTCTTCACTCTCTCAATTGTGTTCATCATGGGCCCTTTCCTGTTGATAGTCCTGTCCTACATCCGCATTCTCTCCACCATCCTCAAGCTGCCGTCAGCGGAGGGGAGGCGTAAAGCCTTCTCCACCTGCTCCTCCCATCTCACGGTGGTGACTTTGCTCTATGGAACAGCCCTTATCACCTACCTGAGGCCCAAGTCTACCTCCACCCAGGAAAATGATCAGCTGATTTCCCTCATGTACACAGTTGTGACACCTGTGTTGAACCCCATAATATACACACTGAGGAACAAAGAGGTGCACGGAGCCTTTAGAAAAACTCTAGAGAAGAGCATCTGTTCTCACAACTAGAGAAATTAGAGAGTGAAAAGGAGAGTTAATCAAAACAGGTTGGAAAGGGGAAATTCATAAGCATTTGCTTAAAATTCTTCTGATGCACCTCACTTTTTTAATTGGTTATTTTGCCAATTGAAAAATCTTCACCTTTCCTAAGTCACTCAGGAAAATGGGAAGAGAAATATTTTAATTAAATATGTAAATATCTACATTTTTGATGAACTTTTAAAAGTCAGATCCTTTGAACAAGATCAGAACTGAACTGAAAAATGAAATAAGATCAGTTAGTGGTCTGATGTTATAGCTTCAAAATTTTAAACTTTGAAGGAAAAAATAGTTCAAAATGAGAAACATTTCATCATCTGTTCACCTGCTGTTGTGCGAATGTTACAATCTTGTCTGGAATTTTTAACTGGAAAATATTCCAAACACATATGCAGACAAATCCATGGCGGGTTGTCCTTCTGCCCTTCAGTATGGTGCAACGTTTTAGGTTTTGAGTAAGGTTGATTTTTTAAACAAAATGTCCATTGTGTTTCCCCAGTGCTCCCTTTGGCTTACATTTAAACCGTATTTTCACAGCACTTGTGAACACCTTGCAATGTACGACACTTATTGGTCTTTCAATGC